GGCTAAGTTTTGGCCACATTGTGCCAAAATCCCATTTCCTCCTAACAGCCTGCCCACTAACAAACACACTTCAACTTATTCAGTCCAAATTTGCTTGACTTATAGTCAGAATGTGGATCTATAAAGTCTGAGGGTTCATCCAGAGTTTCAAATGTGCTTTCATGGTGTTTTGTGTTTTTTATTTTGGAAAAAAAATTGGCAAGGCTAATTTTTTTTTTCATTTTTTCTTTGTTTAATCATCTATAAATCAGACATGGTGACATTTAAAATAATGGTTCCACCTGAAAGATATCCCTCAGTGCCTTTCTGTCACACAAATACAAACAATTGTATTTCCAGGTTATATTTTGGGAGCTGAACTTCACATATTTAATTTCAGGCGACCCTCAGGGCTTAAGGGGTTAAACCTTGTATCAACTATCAGCTAGGAAACTGACAGTAAGGAGAACATGTAATCCTTGATTTACTTTTTATAATTAGGAATCCTAACTTGTTCAGGAAGTTTGGGAATTTCACTACAAACTTTAAAGACTCAAATGAAGTGAATGATGTGAAATAATACTTATGGTTCCAAATAAGTTCCTCACAATCTGTTGTCATCATCCAGGCTGTTGATCTCTTCAAGAACGGCAATCTCCGATCTGGCAACTTTACAGTAACTCTCAAACTTCTTCACGATCTTTACAGCGACGCACAGATCTCTGTTAAAGAAAACCCACAGATTATATCACAGCTGAAACAATCAGATTAATCAGATTACTGAAATAATCTTCAACTATTTTAGTAATTGACTAAATGTTAGCTGGAGTATAGAGACTAAAACAAGCCTTTAGCTGACAGAACAACCTGCTTAGAGCAGGAATTATGAAAAAATATGTAAACATTTAACATAAAAACACTTCAAAATGCTCTATCTAAAACTCCTCAAGTGGAAGTTAGTTTCATCTGGTTTAATTTAGTAAAAATCCTCTGAAAATAATCTTTGTCTATCTGATTATTAATCGATTCATAGGATAACACAGTATTGTTGATATTGATCCCTGATCAGCATGCCGGCCTACCTGTGTCTATCGATGCACTCCACCACTCTGCCAAAGGCTCCTTCTCCCAGGGTGGAAACAATCTCATCTGGTGCAAATAAACAGAGGATTAGTTTTTTTTATCCTTAAAGCTTTTAAATAATCCATTAATTATCTCTGCTGCAGGCAAAGTAGTTTTTTTCCTCCAGCTCACTTTGTTTCTCCTCATAAACTTGATTTGAGTCGTTTTCCAAGCATGCATACGCACTGAAAATGTGTTTAATACCTTTGACATTAATTTTCCTTCTATTATCTGGTTTTATAATTTGGTTCTGTCTGAAAGTGTTTTACCTAATATTAACAGTTAAAATGCAATCAGTGATACTCTGGCTTTGTGTTAAGCTTACTGTAAAAATGATCAATTCATTGACGTCACTAAATGACAAATGATTTAATAGGTGAGAAAGCGACGCCTCAGATCCTTTCACATTCTAAGCTCTGCAGGAAACAGCAATCATTTTACAGCTGTGGTCAGATGTTTGAGGCCACCAATCATGGGCATGATGACAGTAATTCATGTCATCATTTAATTATTAATTTTAAGGATGTTCTGTTAATAAAAAATATTGTATTTTTTATATGTATATTTTATATGAATGTTTTTTTTTCAGGTGATATCCCTTTAGAACAAAAATAAAAATCCCAAAATAAAAGGGTGGTCTAATATTTTAGATGTAGTATATTTAACTTCCCTGATGTTAAAAATCATTAGAAGTGACTTAAAAAAAAAAAAAGTATTTCTGAATTTCCTGCAGGTTCCAGTCAGTGAGATGAAGTTTAAGAATTAGAAGCTAATCTGTTTAGAAGACGTCTAATAGACACGATGGCAGTGAAACAGCCTAAAGCATGACGCCAGCCCCACTAAAAGAAAAATTAGCCTCTCAAGCAGCAACAATCTAAAATTGTGAACAGTGACATCATAGCCTTGATAGTTTCCACTTTCAGGCAGGTAAACTGGGGCCAAAAAGTATTTAGTCGGTCACTAGATGTGCAAGTTCTGCATGGAGGAATGGGCCAAAATACCAGCTACAGTGTGTGCAAACCTGGAGAAGACAGACGGGAAACGATTGACCTGTCATTGCCAACAAAGTTTATGTTACAAAGCATTGAGTTGAACTTTAGTTTAGTGAACCAAATACTTATTTTCCTCCATAATTTACAAATAAATTCTTTAAAAATCTTACAGTGTATTTTCATCTCTCATAGTTAAAGAGAGATGATAAAATATACAAAAACTCATTATTCTAAGTAGGAGAATCTGCACAATCAGTAACTAAACACTTTTTGGACCCACTGTTGCGGCTACTCTTGCATCAAAAAAGTTTCCCAAAAAAAAAATTGCCAGATTAGTCTTAGGAGGAGGTTTTTCGACTACCAAAACAAAAAGCACTCGTGGAGAATTTTCTTGTTTAAATAGGGGTGTTTTCTTTACTTATCAAAAATAACAGAAATATTCTCAGAGTTGATTTACAAAAAATTGAAATATAAAAGTTAAGTGATGTGTGTGAAAAAACGGTTGCACTCCTCACTCCTTCAAACAAACAATCAGATCCGCCTCATCAGCTGCTTCTACCTGTTAATCTCAGCAGGAGGCGGACTGACAGGGAGGGGGGTCAAAGCCAAACCAATATATAAGCAAATAAACAATAGCTCTACCATTCACACCACCTCAGATCTTTAACATTAATAACTTTGCAAAAAATAAATTAATCTAATTCTTAATAGGCTCCAACACCCTCTGTTGGTGTTTTTCTAGTTTCCAGGCTTCTTTCAAACCTGACTGATGTCATAAGACATCTAAAAAAAGTGATGCCTAGTGGTTAGAGCAGCGCTCTGCGCTCTGAGAAGGTTGCAAGTACTCGGTTCGATCCCCATTGCCTCCATTCTGGGTCCCTGAGCAAGACCCTTAACCCCACACTGCTCCCCAGGCACCGCATAATGGCAGCCCACTGCTCCCCAAGGGGAGGGGTGAATTCTGCATTGTGAGATTAATGATGTTCCATTATTATTATATTATTATATTATTATATTATTATTATTAAATGAATTATTCAATTAAACTGAGTTTTAAACAGTTTTCTAACTATTAAATCTATGGTTGCTGTTTGTAAGAGGAACTGCTCCCCCCTCCCCTCCCCGCGAACATCTGTGGATGCGTTCAGAAACTGTAACGTTTAAAACGCGTATAACTTAATATCTTAATACGCGTATAACGGTTAATAAACGTCCATCTTATCGAGGACAGTGGCCTGTGGTCAGCGTTCATGGATAAATCTAAAGCACTGATCACACACTAATAATGCTGAAATGTCAGATTGACTGTCATGCGGCTCCTTCTGATGTTTTCCTTCTGCTGAAATGTTTGTCTCATGTTTATCTGGGATTTTCTTGTGCTGAGATTTTTTTGATATCTCATGATGTTTCCTGTCAAGGATAAAGTGTGAAATATGCTTTTTTCCCATCTCCCTCCCCAATGTGGCTCCTATCTTCCCACAGAATAAAGGCAGTGCTGTAGGGACCCGCCCCCCAGGGTTGGGGCCCCTGGCGGCCATAAGAACGCGTCCTGCAGCACGCATGGCCTCAGTAAACCGTTCTCCTCCCACCTGGGACTTGATGTTCAGCAACATTCATTAAAAAGTGTAGATGCAGGAAGAGGAATCAAGGCTGCAGGAATCATTTTGAAATTGTTAGTTTTAGGGAAATCTATAATAAATCTGACTTTGTTACCCAATATTATCTATTTTTATGCTGTAATCGTTCCAAATTAATGATCAACGTGAAACCATCTTGGCCATGATTAGTGGATGAAAACATCTGACTGCAAGTGTTGCCATTCTGTAAACAGAAACTCTACATCTGTCTTCCATCACTAGACCGATGTGATAATCCAGGTTCCCGTCGTCGTCATTCTCTCTTGGTCGTTTGTCAGCAGCAGTGAGATCGTTGTCGTCAGAAGAGGCCGATTCCACACAGAATGAGGCGTCTTTATCCTGAAGCAGGAAGAGGAGGAAGTGTAAAAATGTCTTCTCATCAGAAAAGATTATTTTATTTATAATGAGGTGATTTATAATATCTACAGTTAGTTTATCTAATTATGCAGTGCAATGAAATACAAAAACCCATAAAGACCTTTTTTTACTTTAGTTTTATTAGAATATGCAATAGATTTTTTCTTCTTATTAAATGCAGAAGGATAATCTTTCTAAGATAAGAGTAAAGTTTGTCAGACACTTTCTGATAATTCAATAACTCCTTAATATTTGAACCCTGCTGTATATAAAAATCTATGATTTCTGTTTTTGTTATAAATCAGATGTTAGATTAAAGGAGGTTAATAATTTAAACATTTCATCTATATTTGGATAAATGTAGTTATAAAGCTAATTAGCGACATCTTGGGGTCAACGCAACTCATTTAATGTGAGCGTTCTAATATCAATTTTTTTCTGATGGCT